TTTATTAAGCAGCAGTCAGCAAAGGACTTGGTTCTAGCTCTGAATGTGCAGGAAATCATCGTTTTACTCAAAGAAAGCAAAATCCAATAAACGATGAGCTATGAGTGAGTGGTCATTCATTCACCGCCGACGTATTTGTGTGTACTGCTGCAAGTACCACAAAATGGCCCCATAGAATTGCGCTTGGAATGCAGCTAATCTTTGTCGCTCTGGTTGACCCCACTTACCCGCAAAAAATTTTATGCGGACAGAACCATGCGCACCTGGAGCTGATTTTGAAGTCATTTAATTTTACTTGGACAGAGAACATCTCCTTAAAATTTCTGACTTGTTTCGATCAAGTTTTTTTCAGTCTAGTCGATCATTTTGTATGTGTTGTTGTACATATAAATGTAGTATTTTTGCCGTGTCTTCTGACGCTGAGCGTCTGTTTTGTTATTTGTTCGGGTTCGAGTGGTTTTCTATCACTGAATGATAAAGCTCTGTTAATAAGCATCTGTTCCAACTAAAGTCAATTTCTTAGAGTCTAGCCAAGTGCCGCACTTGCAACATGAGTTGACGTCAAGTGCCAGATGATAAGGAGCGAGTTGCTTGGGGAATTACTTTTTATTGTTCAATTTTATGGATGGAATTCCACCGCCACACCGGGGGCAACCGAAATTCACGGGACCATCCGGGGGTTCTTCGGGACTGAACACCAATGACAGTTTCCTCAACGAATTCCTCGCTCTCCTTAAATACAGTTAGTGGCAATTACTGCTAAACTTGGTCCAGCTTGATCAAGCAAAAAACACCCTTTTGCATGTTTTGGTGAAATCTGGTACTGGTTGCACACGAGTACCGGTTTCTTCCGATGAAGTTTTGGAAGCAAGCACAAGTTTACTAGCTTCTCCTTATCATGTAATTTCTTGCTTAGCATCATAAATTCATGTAACTCCCCGCTTCATAACCCCAATTTCAATTCTAAATCCCATCACCAAGCAAGATCTCGGCTCCTTCCCGGTCAACAACTTCACCCCCTCTCTCCGTTACAACCCTTGAGACCTGAATCACCATTCTCGAACACACGTGGTCGCCCCTTTGCTTCCTTGGCCCTCCATTTCGCACCACCGGCCGTCGCAACTTGTCTCCAGGCACCGTCGCAACTTGTCTCCAGGCCCCGTCGCAACTCGTCCTTCAACCCCGACCGAGCAGGGCCTAGAGAGGTCGAGTTTTAGCCAATTTTTCCGGGAGTTGGCACACGAACTTTGACGAGGGAGCATTAGTAACCCGTGGAGCAAGTCTCCAGACCCGGTCAGCCCAAACCCGTTGCAACCTGCCCTCCGGCCCTGGCCAAGAGCTCAAAAGGTCGAATTTTAGTCCGTTCTTCGCGAGTTGGCACGTGAACCTGACAAAGGGGCATTGGTACTCTGTGGAGAAGTTGGGTTCGTGGTTTGCGTGGTCGTTGTTGTTCGTTCACGTGTGGTCGCAAATTTTTCCCGGACCAGCTCGCACGTACATAATCCGAGTAGGCCGCTACTGGCCATGAGGGTTGCTTGCGCGTTGCATCAGATACCAACGAAATTTGGGGGTATCGATTGTTCGTGTGTCCGTGTGCTTATTACCCCGTAAAGTACGGGGATGGGTGGGGAGATTTACCCGACTTTCAGCCTTCTAGAGGGCAAAGAACCCCGCCTCTCTTCCCGGGAAAGCAAGGTTCGAGTTCTGGGTGACGCCTGTGTAAAGCTTTTTTGGGCATTCACTGCCTTGATGTTACATTTTATTGCGCCAAACATGAATATTTTTCAAGGAAAGCTTTCTGAATCCGTATGTATTGCTAAATCTCAGGGATTATGTACCCCCAGGACTCGGGAATACGTACGTAAAACCGGCATACCTTGTGCTTTTCTTCTGAACTAATTTTTAAAAGTATAAGGGATGGCTGCCAAAACAGGGGCATTTGTGGCATTACGGTTTATTTTAATTTGCTTTTCTTTGTAGTGCTGTGTTGTCTTTTTCTCTTTACTGCTGTCTCCAGTTCTTGCCTCGAGCTTCTGACTTTTATCCTTATTCCCATTCTTTGTCCTGCCCATCCCGCCGCTACTAAGTCGGTCCGGGCTGACAGTATGAATTTACATGTTAGTGATGTTACTAGGATGCTCCTGAACACAGTGAACGCAGCTGTTGCCAGTCCCCCCGTTGTATGCCTCCAGTTAACTGATAAAACAGGGGCATTTATGGCATTACGGTTTATTTTAATTTGCTTTTCTTTGTAGTGCTGTGTTGTCTCTTTCTCTTTACTGCTGTCTCCAGTTCTTGCCTTAAGCCCCTGCTTTTATTGATGGATGTCACAGCTCTTCTGAAGACGATTTATTGATCATTTATTTTTTCTTTGCCATTTAAAAGTATGTGTGTTTTTTTTTCCAGGAAATTGCCCCGTCCAGAATGCATTCCGGTGCGCCAAAGAGTCGTCAGTCGGGCGGAAGTAGCAGCAGCTCGTCTGCTACTGCAGCAGCTCCACCACCTCAGCCAACAAAAGAGGATCTCGCGTTGATGGATCGGCAAAAGGTTAATTTTCCTCATTTTTCTTTTTTTTTTTTAAATTCTCGAACCTCTGAGGATTGCGTTGGGCATCGCTTTTTTCTTCATTGACAAATGATCTTATGCTCTGTGGTTTGTTGTTCTCTCCATGCTCCTGTGTAATGTCAAGTCAAAAACTCCTCTTATA